CTTATGGGGGCGTTCAATAGGAATCCTTCTAGGGGGAAGGGCAGATGTGGCCACGTCGCATTCCTTTTTTTTTTTTTCTCCTGGCGTCCCCCCCCCAGAAAAAAAGGAGAAGGATGAGGAGGAGGAGGAGGAGGAGGAGGAGAAGGATGAGGAGGAGGAGGAGGAGGGAGGAGAGGATTTTCATTTCCCCCCCCCCCCCGCCCATTTTTTTTTTTTTTTTTTTTTTTTTTTCTCCTGGGGGGGGGGGAGGGGGCCAAACAACGAAAATGGTATTGTTCCTTTTGGAGGAGGAGGAGGAGGAGGAGGAGGAGGAGGAGGAGGAGGAGAGAGGAGGCCGCCACAGAGCACGCATATCTCATTGAAATAGACGCGCGAACTCAGTGTGAAAGCCTCGCTTTGGCGCCTTCGACCCCGAGGGGCTCCACAATCCCCCGTTCTCGAGGAGGAGGGGGGGAAGGATGAGGAGGTGGAGGAGGAGGAGGAGAAGAGGAGGAGGGATGAGGCGGAGGAGGGATGAACAGGGAGGAGGAGGGAGGAGAGAGGATGAAGGAGGAAGGGAGGATGATGAGGAGGAGGAAGAGCAGCAGCAGCAGGAGGAGAAGGAGGAGCAGAGGAGGAAGAGGAAGGAGGAGGAGGGGGGAGAGGGGGGAGGAAGGAAGGAGGGAGGAGGGAGGAGGAGGGAGGGAGGAGCGGGAGTTGGAGAGAAGGGCATGAGCAGGAGGAGGAGGAGAGAGCAGGAGGGGGGAAGAGGAAGAGGCGGCGGCGGCGCCAGCAGCGGCAGGAGGAGGAGGGGGGTAGGAGGGGGAGCAGGAGCAGGAGGGGGAGCAGGAGCAGGAGGAGTGAGGAGGAGGAGGAAGGGAGGAGGGAGGGAGGAGAAGGGATCAGGAGGGAGGAGGGAGGAGGAGGGAAGGGAGGGGGCGGAGGGAGGATGAGGTGGAGGAGAATGTTCTGAAGAGCAGGAGGCGGAGGGGGAGCAAGTGGGAGCAGGGGGAGGAGAGGTGGGGAGGAGGAAGGGAGGGAGGGAGGGAGGAGGGAAATGGCAAGAGTGGGAAAGGACGGGGGGAGGAGGGAGGAGGAGAGGAGGAGGAGTAGGAGGAGGAGGAGGAGAGGAGGAGAGGAGGAAGGAGGAGGGGGAGGGGAGGAGGAGGGGAGAGGAGGAGGAGGAGGAGGAGGAGGAGGAGGAGGAGGAGGAGGATGGGGGAGGAGGATGGGGGAGGACGGGTCGCCTTAGCCCTTCGGGGAGAAAAACCTCCAGCTGCATCTGTTTGACACTCTCGCTCTGCACATACGTACAACAGAAATACTGGAAAAAAGGGCTGCTGCTCCCAGTCCCTTGATCGCACGGGGGCTGCTGCAGAAGCGGTCCGCTATCACCTCGCATCTCCCTCCAACGATCTCGCTTTTTAAAGGGGCCCAAGGACACACAAATAAATATACAAAAATCCCAGAATCCCCAATATTGTCATGTATTTTCGGGGTTTGCGTCTTCCCCCCACTTCCCATACTTTCCCATATAATCCTAGGGATCGTCGATTATTGAGTCTGCGTATTTCTCCTCCGGACTTCTCTCCACCACTCGGACCAACCAACACGACTGTACACGCGGCTGGCAAGCTGGCAAAGACAAACTGGCCACATACACTGGGCTCCCTCTGTACGCTGTGCACGCGGATGGCAAGCTGAATGCGTGCGGTCCGCGAAGGGTTCACAAATGGAATCGTCATCACTCGTCCGCTCGTACGTCATACCTCCCACGTCCCACTCCCAACCTGCAGTCAACCCGTACAATAAGGATGCGCGGTAAGGATGCAATGGCCTTGGAGGGCCACGTTAGCGTTTTTCGAACGAGGTTGGCCAGCGAGATTCGCTAAGGATGGGCCGAAGGGGCAAGGCTGCAAGGGTACCTTTTGGAAGTTGTCCATCCTTTCTATGCGGGTTGACTGTACAACGTCCTGCCTAGAACCTACTCCCTGGATCCCAACCGTTTCCGCCAGAGCTGGGAGCGGCCGGAGACTGCCTCCCAAGCAAACTGCAGCGCACGCGGCGCGAGGGGCGAACCCCCCTGCGCGCACACGCAAGCAAACCGTGAGATGTAAGCGACCGTTCTCCGGGGCCCCGCAGTTGCGGCGGAGACCTGTGATGGGCTTGTTTTCCACCACCACCACCACCATAAGTTGGAGGGGGAGGGTGTCCTCCTCCGCCTCCTCCTCCTCCTCCTCCGCCTCCTCCTCCTCCTCCTCCTCCTCCTCCTCCTCCTCCTCCTCCTCCTCCTCCTCCTCCCCTCCCCTCCCCTCCCCCTCCCCCTCCCCCCTCCTCCTCCTCCTCCTCCTCCTACTCCTCCTCCTCCTCCTCCTCCTCCTCACCTCCTCCTCCTCCGCCTCCTTCCCCCCTCCAGCTTATGGTGATGGTGGTGGGAAACAAGCGGCGCATCATTCTGCGTGGCTGAGATCAGCCGCCCATCCTGTAGCCCAGCCGCGTCGCCCGCTCGTGGGCGGCGAAGAGCATCCGGTCGACGGTGGCGGGCGAGGTGTCGGAGAAGCCCACCATCTGGAGCAGCCGCGGCCAACCCTCACGGCCAGGCAGGGTGATGACCCGGTGGATCTCAGCGAACTGCTCCCTGAGAGGAGGACGCAAAGCGTACACCTACACAGATCCTGGCCAGGCTCATCCTGGGTCCAGGATCGGCGTATAGGCCCTCCTGGCCTGCTCACGAGGGCATGCATTAGCGGCGCGCAGAGGGGGGTAGGGGGAGGTGGGAGGGGGGAAGGCTCCTTAGAAGGGGGCTGCTTCTTAGAAGGCGCCGACCTCACGCGTATAGAGGAGGTCCGCGCTTGCCAAGACGCCGGGGTGCTTCTAAGAAGCCTTCCCCCCGTCCCCCTACCTGGCCATCGCTCGGACGTCCATTCCCTGTGTTTTTTTCGGTTTCGTGCGTGGTTTTTTCGCCAAATGATCAAGGATGCTCCTCGATGGTCCTCGCCGAAGGAAAAATGCACACGTCCAAGCGATGCCAAGCTACCCCCCTTATGCGAGCGGCAGAGCTTGGCCTGGGCACGAGGGCATAGTTACCCCGATGCCGGGCCCGGGATCGGTGTGGCCAGGATCAATTGCTTAGGTGTACGGGTGGTGCCCCCTCCAACCTCAGGGCCTCGGACATCTCCGGCGACGGGAAGCCGAGGCGCCAGTCGTACTTGCGCTCGAGGCTGTGCCAGTCGGGCCTGCCCTTGCCGCGGCACGCTCTCCTCGGTCCCTGGGCCCTCGCCGTCAAAATCAAGCGACGGCACAAACCATCAAAATGCCCTCGGTTTCCGCAAATTTTCTGAATTCCTCCGTGGTCCGCGTGGGTCCAATGACTCCCCACAACAACCCAGGGGCCGAAACAGAGCGACCTTGCCATGCGGCCGCACCAGCGACAGGAAGAAGACCTGGAACATGACGAGGGTGTTGCCGCGACGGCTCAACCTTTGGCCACGCGCAGAGGGGGGTGAGGGAGTAGAGGGGAAGGCTTGTTGGAAGGAGGCCGCTTCTGAAAGAGCGCCTTGGCTTCGCATCTACAGAGAAGGTCCGCGCCTTCTGAGAAGCAGCCTCCTTCTAGGATTAGGTCGGGCCTGTCCCCCTACAGGCGAATTTTGGGCGAACATTGAAACATAGTCACAATATACTCCCAACAAATGTAAAACAAAATAAGCATCAAATCATCGCCTGACCATTTTTTAAAAAACTTTCGAATTCTCCTCCTGTAGAGGGACAGGCCCGACTTAATTCTAGGAAGCCCCCCCCCTCCCCCTTCTCCCCCATACCCCCCTCCGACGCCCCACGCCACTCGTGGAGTCAAAAGAAGAACCGGGCAGCGGAGCGCCAGAGGGGCCTCCCAACGCCTCTGGACTGAGTCCTGGGAGATCGTGAACGCAGCTCCCCAGGGAGCTTCTGGGCCGACACCTGGCGCCCCACGCCATGTCGCGGAGCTGCTCGGGGGTAGCGAAGAGATCGAAGAAGAGAAGAGCGTGATGAGCATAAGCTTTTGGCGCTCCGCGCGGACTTCTTGGACCTGCGCCGGGCCTCCCTCCCTGGCGCGCGGAGCGCGCCTGGGGCGGCGCCGGAGGCGCCGCCAGGGGGGGCCCCGCGCGGATCCACGAAACCCGCGCGGAGCGCCAGCAGTGTCTGCTCAGAGCGTTTTTGTTCTTCTTCGAGCAGAGCCCTGCGGCCGCCGACTCGTCGCCCGGCAGCAGCTGCACCTCGTGAGGGGCAACGATGGGGGGGGACTGGCATAATGAGGGGGGATGCATCGGCCTGGAATCGGCGATACCTCGCCGATAGAGCGGCGATAGGCCCCCGACAGTGGATCCGCGCCGTCCTGTGCAGGTTGGGGCCATCGGGCCCCTATCGGCGATCAATGGGCAGTCGGGGGTCGATGCACCCCCCCCTCTGCCTATCCTCGGCTACGCGCGAAAACCCTGGGTAAGAGTGACCTTTGGTGCGCGGCTCTTTGGAGGTCGCGGGGGGACCACACTCAAGCGCGCAGGACGCTGCCACCGCATCGCGTTCGGCGACCAGGGGACCCCAGAGGGCCCGCACCAGAGGTCACCCCAGCGAAGGGTCACTCTTACGTGGAGCTGTTCACAGGGCTCGAGTTAACCAGTGCTTTCCGTTTTCGTTTTGTTCTCGTCATCCCTGGTTCTGCCTTCGCTCCGCATTGGCTGCAAAACGAAGTCAAAAGGAAAACGGCCCACGAAATTGCCAAAAAACGGCCCACGAAATTGTCTTTAGTAAACCTCCCCTTAGTGAGAACGGCCTGGGGCCGAAACCGACGGACCTGGACCCGCGCAAATGACGGCCGCGACGCCCTCTCGCGAACCGAAAACGGCCAATTGCTCAATCGACGAGTCGGGGTAGGAGGTCTGTCCAGCTCCTCCTCCTCCTGCTCCTCCTCCTCCTCCTCCTCCTCCTCTTCCTCTTCCCTCCTCCATCCTCCTCGTCCTCCATCCCCCCCCCCCTATCGCTGCTTACCCCGCCTCGGCCCGCCGGCGCAGGGCGACCACGGGCCGGTACTCCGCGCCCACGGGCCCACGGAAGGCGACCCCCAGGTCCCCGCCGTGGCGCTGGAGCGGGGAGGCGTGAGGCTCGGGCTCGGGCGCACGGTCTGTCCCCGGGGCCGTGGGCGGCCCGAGGAGGAGGAGGCGGAGGAGGAGGGGGAGGAGGAGGAGGAGGAGGAGGAAGAGGAGGCGGAGGAGGAGTTGGAGGAGGAGTTGGAGGAGGAGGAGGAGGAGGAGGAGGAGGAGGAGGAGGGAGAGGAGGCGGAGGACGGGTCGCCTAAGCCCTTTGGAAAAACGCTCCGGGCTCGGGGGACTCGGGTTGGCCTGACGGGGCCATCATGAGAGTGGCGAGACCCCGTCTGGAATTTAACTCGTTCTCCTGCTCTAAGCATCTGAAGGCATCCCACGAGAACTGGACCGTCAACATCGAGCGCGCGCTCGTCAGAAAACGTCGGCGAACCCGAGTTCCGGCGCACTCGAATCTTACGTTTCCCCGACTGGAATGAGATCACGCCCTGGTCGACGCAACCCGTCACGATGTCGCCCTCCCGGAAGCCCTCTCCATACCCGGTCCTGGAGGGGAAAAACCGAGATACAGATACGTACCGCAACTCCACGGACTGCACGGTTTCCCCCGGGGCCGTAGGCGACCCGAGGATAAGGAGGAGGAGGAGCAGGAGGAGGAGGAGGAGGAGGAGGAGGAGCAGGAGCAGCAGGAGGAGGAGGAGGAGGAGGAGGAGGAGGAGGAGGAGGAGGAGGAGGAGGAGGAGGAGGAGGAGGAGGGGGAGGAGGAGGAGGAGGGAGGAGGCGGAGGTCGGGTCGCCTAAGCCCTTCGGAGAAACCCTCCACCACGGGCCTCTCTCTCCCGGGGTGCGCTCTGAGCGCAGCACCTCGCAGCGAGGCCGGCCGTGGCAAGGAGAGGGCGGGCCCCAACGAAGGCGGGGAAACGAACGCAGGGCGAGGGCACCGTCAGGTCGGGCAGGTCCCCCTACAGGGGGATGTTGGGCGGAAAATCCGGAATTCCCCCTCCTCCTCCTCCTCCTCCTCCTCCTCATCCTCCTCCTCCTCCTCCTCCTCCTCCTCCTCGTGCTGCTGCTCCTCCTCCTCCTCCTCCTCATCCTCCGCTTCCTCCCCCCACTCCTGGCCCTTTCGATCAGGGTCGGCGGCACTGGCCGTCAGGCCTCTCCAATCAGGAATTCCCCCCCCCATAGATTAACAGTAATCAAAACGTATACAACAGATCGTCCCCAGACTATCTTTTGGACTATTTTTGTGAATACTCCTCCTGTGAAGGGACGTGCCCGACTTAAGGGTACGGGTGCCGGTGCCTTGCCCCCCTCTGATGTCCAGCCCCGCGCTCCGTGCACCTTCCAGCCGCGGCCGCCGAAGCAGCTCCGCGAGGCGTAGTAGCACCAGCCGCCGAGAGGGCCATCGTCCTCGTCGGCCGTCCAGCCGATGCGCAGCACCTGGAGGTAGCCCGTGCACAAACAACAACTTTTTCTGCGGTCTGCGCGGCTTTCTCAGCTCGGCGCCCGGTCACCCTCTCCCTGTCGCACATGAGCGCGCGAGGCGGGCCCCGGCGCCGACCCGAGAGCTCCGCGCGGGGCTCGGAGGCTTTCTGTTTCTGCAGCGCGTTTCTTCTCCGAGCACCGCGTCCGCCGGCAAGCGGAGCACGCGGACAGAGATCGCATGCCGGCCGCGGGCGCACCTGGGAGCCCCTGTCAAGCAACACCACCCACGGGGGCGGCCCAGCCACGTGCCGGGCGACAACTCCCGTGCCCCAACCGTCCCAGGATCTCTCTCGCAGCCGTGCGCGCTCTCTGACAACTGCCACTCGTGGAAGGGATCGCTGGGCGGTGCCGCATGCGATGCCTCAACGGCGTCGGGGTCCACGGGGCGCCAGTTAGGATGAGCGGCGCGGATCATGGGCACGAGCCTTGCAAAGCTCTCCTCGATGTATGGCACCCGCACCTCCTCCCAGCCGACATTCGAGATCGTCAGCAGCTGCAGGATGTAGGCGAGCCATGGCATCACACTTCTGGCACGCTGCTCCGCGGACTCCGCAAACACCCGTAAGGCGGCGTCGGCCGCATCCCGGATTGCGGGCCACTCGTCGCACACGTGGAGGAAGAGGCGGTGCAGCACAAAGTAGCCCTTCAGCAGCTTCAGCGAGGCATGCCGGTCACCGTCCAGGACCTGCTTGAGGAGCTGGTGCATGAGCTCTGGGAGCACCGCAGCCGCGTTGGCCGCCGCTGCAGGGGCCTCGGCGGCAGCCAAGCTGTGGAGCACGGGCGGGGGGAGGTGGGACTCGTGCCCACCTGGGGTGCACTGGGCCAGGAGCCGCAGGCTCTCGTGCAGATGCGGCGCCGCCTCCTTCGCGTGTGCGCTGTGGACGAAGAGGGGCAACCAGTGCGTCATGGGCTCCTTCCAGGCGGCGCGGCGCAGGCCGCCGCGCCAGGCAGTCAGCGACACCGCATCGAAGTGGGCGACCAGCTTCGCCAGCCTGCCGCGCCCGTCCGCGTGGATGCCGATGCCGATGGTGTCCACATCGGGCCCCGTCTTCTCGTGGAAGCACTCCAGCTCCTGCGACTCCCAGAAGGCGGGGGCCTGCGCCGCCTCGCGCCACGCCGGCACGGCGGCGGCGAGGGCGGACCGATCCTGCCGCCGCACGAAGGACATGACGAGCACGACCAGGGCCGGGGGCCAGCCCACTAGTTGAGCCATGCGCACCCGCGCTGCGCCGCACAGCACCGGGGACGGCAGCAGGGCACCGCGGCCCGCAAGGAGGCTCGCGGGGGCCTGGCGCTTCCGCTCCGCGACACCGTCAAAGCTCGCGCGGCAGAGGGGGCACCTCTTCACCGCCAACTCCAGGCTGCATGGGAGGTGGAACCAGTGGCGGCACACCTCGACCCCAGCTGTGTCAACCAACAGGGCCAAGGGTCGCACGCAAGGTGCTCCACGCAGGGGCCCCTCCTCTGCGGCATCGTCCAAGCTGCCCAAGCAGATCATGCATGCGTCTTCTGGGCAACATGCTGGAGGTGGCGCAGATGTGGGCGCATCATCGCAATTCGCAGGGTCTGGAAAGGGCGGATGTGGCACACCGTCATGCGTGTGTCCGCAGCGGCACCGGAAGCCAGGGTGGTGCGACACATCTATTGCGATTTCGCCAATGCGGCCACGGGGCTGTTCGCACGCCTCGCAGCGCCTGGCCTTGATCGGATTGTACAGGGTGCATCGAGTGCATGCCCACCACTGTGTCCCATCACCCTCGAAGAAGAAGGTCTGGAGCTGGCGCAAGATTGCGAGGATGCTATAGGCGCTGCTCCAACCAGTGTAAGGGCGCAACTTCTCTGCGTCGGCTGCCCACTCCCCACCCTCGAGCATGTCGAGGCAGATGAACGTCGAGAAAACATTGGGGTGGCTGACGCTGCTGCCGAGCACCTCGACTTTCGGCGGACGGTTCGGATAGTCCTCGGCGAAGGTCAGCTCGAGGTGAAGGACCACCGGAGGCCCTCCCTGGGGTGGCTGCCCGGCAACGTTGCAGTGCCAGATGAACAGGTCCACGTCCGAGACTGGGGCGGCGGCAACCCCCCAACTAGGCTCCAGCTGCGTCATTCTTAACTCCCGCATCAGTCGCCGCACTGCGGGAGCGGGGCTGGAATGGCTGACGCTGCCGCCACGGGCGCGGACTCCAACATCCGGGGAGGGCCGCTCGGCAGCTCCAGGCTCGGCAGCAAGCATGGTCGCGACAGGGGGCGCGGTCGATGAGCCTGGCGGCTGGCTGTGGGGGCCTCTCTTGAGGAAGCAGTGCCTGATCGCTGCGCGCGGTCGCACAAGCTCTGATGTTGCACCCCGTGGAGCCATCGGGCTGCGCCTGAGGGGCCCCTCTGCTTCTTCTTTCTCGAGGGCCCGGTGGCCATCCCCAGGCCGGCCCCAGGCACTCGCGGGGACCGCTCCCGGGCCTCGGCCTCCTCTGCGCGGAGAAGCAGACGTCGAGTCGGGCCGTACGCGTCGGCACGTGGACGAAATCGGATCGGACAGCGCCGTATAAGCATCGTGCTGCGCGTCGGATCGCCGAAATGTCGGGATCGAGCTGGATCGAGCCCCACGAAATCCATATCGAATCCGATTGCGACCTCTTTTATTTCGGCATTTCGACATTGGGCGGAAATGGGGGGGGTCTGGCTCGGGGCATCTGCTCAGTGCAACTGTTTGCAGCACTGGGTCCTATGAGGGTAGACCCCACCTGCTCGAAGCAGGCGCCCAAAACCGCCAAGATCTACTCCAGGGGGGGGGGAGGGGGGGGGTGCGAGGGCCCGCGCCGATCGGCAAAACAATGAATAAAAAAACTATCAACTTGATCGAATTCGGATCGGTCCGGATGCGCAGTTTCTGGGTCCTCGAGGGGCGCTCGGGGCGGTCGGCCTGGCCTCTTGCCCACTGCTTTGACCTTCGGCGTCTTGCTTTGATTCTACTTCCCGCAGCGATTCGTGCACGCTGGGGTTCTGACTTGCCTGTTGTTCCCCAAGCAATGCTTGCACTTAAGTCGTCTTGCCTGTGGCCAAGGCCTCCAGGAGGCCTCCGACAGGCATCCTGGAAGGACAACAAGCACTTGACGACGGCAAAACAAATAATGCCAGGTCGCCCTGGAATGATAGACCGGCGGCGACGGAATACAGTCAAACATAAGATTTGGAAAATTATCAATTAAGAAATCTGGGCCAGCTTTTCAGGAGTTTCTTAAGGAAACGCTGGGCCTGCTTCTGGAGCCAGGAACGTCCACTATTCATTTCTAGGATCCAAGGCTACCAACCACCTTAAGATACTGAGCCAGCTTTACGGCAAGTTGGTTCAGAAACGCTGGGCCAGCTCTTCGGGGGGAGATTTCTTAACCATAAGTGGGAACGTAGTCCAACACCAATGTGGTTGCTTGGGCGTTGGCGACAAGGATGATGATACTGCACAGTACCGAAGCTGTGCAGAAGACATGCAAAACAGCCTGCCTTAACGTCATCATCGCGTACGCCTGCACGGAATACGCGAGTCGGCCTCCACCGGGCCAGGGTGGCAGCTCACGAAGAACGGTGAGGAGGAGAGACGATCACAGAAAAAAACAAAACACGCCATACAGTCAACCAGTATAGTAAGGATTCGCGATGAGGATGCAAGGGCCTTGGACGCCCATTTCAAAGTTTTTCGAGCGGGGCGCGGCCAGCGAAAGCGGCGAAGGATGGACCGAGGAGGCAAGGATGCAAGGGTACCCTTGGGAAGGTTGCCCATCCTGACTCTGCGGGTTCGCTGTAGAAGAAGAATTTAAGAACATGCCATAAGCGGAAACTTTTGGCGCTCCGCGCGGATTTCTTGGATCTGCGCTGGACCCCCATTCCCTCGCGCGCGGATCGCGCCATGGCGGCGCCAGGGGGGGCCCGGCGCGGATCAATCCAAGAAATCCGCGCGGAGCGCCAAGAGTTTATGTTTATGGCGTTTTTCTTGTTTGAGATCAGGGCAAGTTTGAGGTGGAGTGCCATGGGGAGGTGCGAGGAGAAAACCGTCTCCAGTGCGCGCGCGAACCCTTCTCGGAAGACTAGATCGATCGCTCGTAGCGATCGGTCCGGATACTTCACGGCCGGGTTGATGTATATGCGTAAGAAGGGAAGGGCCAGTGGGTCGAACCCAATCAAATTCCGTAGGATATGTACAGTATGGATGAATTTTCCTCCAGAAAGAATACTTCTCACGGGACGGAAGGATGCGTATGCGGAGGAAGCGTCAAGGAGCCTAACCCACCAAAAACCCATAGGGTAGAGACTATGCCGATAGGAGGATTCTCTCCAGAGGGAAAGTTCTGACATAATGGAAACATGTATCTGTGCTAGGGGGAAGATGTCAAGCGACCCTATCCAAGATCCGCAGCAGAGAGACTATGACCACATCAGGGCTTCCACCCAGAAGGAGCAGTCTTCACGCCAGCTAAGTCAATCCATGAGCCAAGAGAGCGGCAAGTGAGGGAAGAAGAAAGGGAGATAGGGAACAGACACAATATCACAACATCGCTGACGTATCAAAGGTTGACTCCGGTCCCCCACCTCACCCTTTTCCCGATCGTTCCCGAACGTCCCCCAGGCCACTGCAGGGATCGTACTGCACGACGACCATGCCGAGCACCTGCAGCGCCATGGCGCGCCAATGCCCGGCGCTGAACTCCCTGCCAGACAGGGAGCACTGCGTGACAGCCACCAGGATCACACCTGGGGGTCGCAGGAGAGGAGGGGCGCGAACGGGACATGAGGCATGACCGCAGTGGAAACCACCGACTCCGCAACAAATCGCAGAAACATCCGGGACGGGCGGGATTTCAACTTTACCGATGCCCGTGTCGTATTTGCGTGTTCCCTCTCTTGGGCCTCTTTTGGGTCCGTCTTGGGGCCCCTCTTGGGCCGTTTTGGGCACCTCTTGTGCTGTCTTGGGGCCCTCTTGGGCCGTTTTGGGGTTCTCTTGGAGGCCTCTTGGATTGCTTGGGGCGTTCTTGGGGGCCTTTATGGCCGTCTGGGAGCGTCGGGAAGCTGAAACGGCGAGAACGCCAAACTCCTTCAAAAATTGTGGGGAATCAATGATTTTGGCCTCTTGGGGCCCTCTCCAAACGCAGGCATCAACGCGTACGCGTCGTTCACTTCTGATCCTCCTCATTTCTAAGCGTGCTCGTTTCTCATTGTTCCTGGCCCCCGTTCCTGGCCAGGAAGCGGCCCAGGACAGAACAATCAGAAATGAGAGGATCTTGCCCCCCCAAAAAAAATCAAAGAACCTTCGAAGAATTAGAAAAATGAGAGGATCTTGGCCACCAAAAAATCAAAGAACCTTCGAAGACCTAGAAATGAGCAGTGTGTACCCCGCCCTTCGCAAAGGGCCAACTGCTCGGAACCACGGACGCTCCCAAGGGGGCACGCCGCTTCCGTCTCGTGCGCCCGCCGACAGGCCACGTCCGTGGCAGCACCCACGAGGGCACGGGCTCTCCAGGCGCACTGGGGGGCCTCTCCTCGGCCACCAACTCCCTCCTCCGCCGCCGCCGTCCCTTCCTGTTCCACCCTCCTCCTCCCCAACCCGCCCCTCCTCCTCCCCCTCCCCCCCCTCCCCCTCCCCCTCCACAAGATACTCCCCCTCCCCCTCCCCCTCCCCTCCCCTCCCCTCCCCCTCCCCTCCCCCTCCCCCTCCCCTCCCCCTCCTCTCTCCCCCTCCCCTCCCCCCTTACTCAATATGCTACTCTCCCTCTTCCCCTGATGACGGCCTGAAAGTGTCCGACCCCCCCCCGCGTACTGTTTTTTTACACACAGGTTTCCCCGGAGTTGGGTTTTCGCCTGCATTTTTTCAAAATGCTGCTCTCGCTGAGGCGCCGGCCTCATTTTCGGGCCCCGCTCGTTCCGAATCGTGCTCCCGCTGCAGCGCTGGCCTCATTTCCGTGCTTCCGCTCGTTCCGAATCGTGCTCCCGCTGCAGCGCTGGCCTCATTTCCGCGCTTCCGCTCGTTTCGACTCGTGCTCCCGCTGCAGCGCTGGCGTCATTTTCCGTGCCGTGCCACGGCATGCAATGCAATGCTCGGTTGATACTACGCTTTGCGGTGCTCTTCTACGCCATGCCATGCCGTGCTCTACAATGCATCGCGTACCCTGTCGGGATCATTGCCCTGCTCGACAATCCGACTGTGCGAGTAGAGAGGGGATCTGCGCCATGCTAAGGGATGGGAGGGAGGGGTAGGATGTCAGATATGACGCGAGCGCACCTAGCTTGCCTCCCCTCCCCTCCCCCTCCCCTCCGCCCTCCCCCTCCCCCCCCCCCCTCCCCCTCCCCTTCCCCTCCCTCCCTCCCCCTGCCGCCCCGCCCCCTTGCCCCTCCTTGTTCCCGCAGTCTGCCGGCGTTCGGCGTCGGCGCGCACGTGCGCGCGCACGCTCGCATGGGTGCATGTGCGCACGCGCGCTCCGACACGAGGGCACGAACGCACGCGCGCGCGGGCGCACCCCAAACAAGACCCCGCCGAACATCCGAGTAAGCTCTTTACTTGGCCCCGAGTAAACTAAAACCCACGCCCCCGCGCGCGCGCGCTAAAGATCTCCTGACCATGGGGCCGAGCGGTTGATAGGGCTTTTGGCTTGGAAGCCCACGCGTAGGTGCTTGAAGTCGCAGTGATTCGCGACAGCACTCGGCTATCCTTGGGCCATATTGCTCTCCCCGTCAAGACCAGGTGGATCTTCGAAACAATCTTGGAGCCACAATTCCGCAACACATGTGAATGTCATGAGAACAAGAAAGCAAACACGTCGGGATCCCTTTTGGCTTTGGACTGATTTGGCCCTCTTGGATGTCCTGTGCGGGTGCTCTCTGGCGGCTTCGTGGGGCCTCATTGTACTGCTGAAGACGGAGGAGGGTGGAGCGAGTAGAAGGCAGCATGAAATGAAGGAGAGCAATAGAGTGAGAGGAAGGCGGGAGGGAGAAGGGAGGATGAAGCGTGGGAGGGGAGGAATGGGTGGGGGGAGGGAGAGGGGGAAGACGCCAAGCTAGGTGCGCTCACGCCTCATCTGACATCCAATCCCTCCCTCCTATCCATTCCCATGGCGCTAAAATTTTCTAGACGCGGATGCGTGTCGTAGCCGACCTGCGACTCCCGCAGAACGGCCACTTGGTGGTACGCGCAATCGGAGAGCTGCGTGCACTGGAGGAGGTGGCGGGTGAGCAGGACGATGAGAGGGAGGAATAGGACGAGGACGAACAGCAGCAGCAGGAACTAAACTAGAAGGATCGGGAGGAACAGGAGGACCAGGGGAAGGCGGAGGAGGGGAAATGAGGCGGGGGATATCGGTAAAGAAAGACTCGAATTCTGAAAAGTGGCCTGGCCTGCGCTGGGGCAAGACGAACAGCAGCAGCAGGAACTGGAGTGGAAGGAGCGGGGGGAACAGGAGGACGAGGGGAAGGCGGAGGAGGGGAAATGAAGGGGGGGACTACAATGAAGCAAGACTCGGATTGACAAAAGTGGCCCGCGCTGAGGCGAGAGCGCCATTCTGAACAACGGGGGGGAGGTGCCAATTAGAAACGTAGTCCCACGCTGCAGCGGGAACACTATTGTGCAACACCAGAAACAAGTGGATTGTAAAACGCCATAAGACATATCGACGGTTGAAATCTTGTGTAAATGCAATTGCACCAGAGAAAACCCCTATCAGTGGATGAGTTGAAAATTGATACTAATGATCTTGAGATCGATTGTGAGATCAATGATGAGATCGATAATGTAATCGATAGTGAGGACGATTGTAAGGTCGATCTAAGACCAAGAGAGAAATAGTTTCAATGAGATCGATAGTGAGATCGATCGCGAGATCGCTCATGCGATCTCTAGTGAGATCGCTTGTGAGATTGATAGTGAGATCGATTGTGAGATCGATGGTGAGATCGATCGAGAAATCGGTAATGAGATCGATGGTGAGACTGATCGATTAGATCGACCAAGAACCCGGGAACCCGGGAACCTCGCCGCCCTCCGAAACCGGCCTTGAACCCGAAACCGGGAACCCGGGAACCCGGAACTGGGAACCCGGGAATCGGGGAACCCAGCCTGCCATCAACATCGGCGGCGACCTTTCGCCCAATCCTTCAACTTCCGCTAGGACCCCTTCAGTGCAAGCACTGATTGGGGAATGAGCGGAGGGAGTGGGAGATCTTCTGGATAACTGCAGGGGAGGAGGGAGCGTATCTTTGTGTGTCTTGGAAACGCCCTGGGCGTTTCGTGATAGTTTCCAACGTTCATTCCAAAACACGTTTTTCAATAGTTCCTGGCTCCCGTGTTTTTGTCGTTTCCAGGTCTCCGCGGCGATGCGTTTTTTTTACCGTTTCCGACGTCAATCCCAGGGATCGTTTTTGGTACAGCTTCCAATTTAGTTGTTCCATCGTTTCCAAGTCTGCCTCGCAACGTGCTGTGTTGTATCCGTTGCTGATTGTTTTACGTCTGGGGATCACAAAGCGGCAATCACACAGCAACTGACAATCAACGCATCCGGTGCACTGGCAATCACAAAGCGGCAATGAGGCAGCGAGCGGCAGCAGCAGCAGCAACAAGCAGCAAGTCGCAGCGCGCAGCAGGGAACGGCAGGCACGATCAAGCAAGGAATGGGCAGCTGCAGCGAGCAACAGGTGCACCAAAGAACCCTTTGTCGAGAACACGTGTCGAGCGTCGCCTGTTCACCAACTTGTCTTTTAGAATTCCCATGGCCGTTTCCAGCTTGCGCCGGCTCCTTCTAGACTAATTTCAAACTGATCGCGCGGAAACGTTTTTTGATAGTTTCCAGGGTCCGTTTTTTGATCGCTTCCATGTCTCAAGACACAAGACACACTACGGAGAGTAATATTCAAACTGTTTGATTGTAAAAGGAGAAGTGTGAGAAAGAGGATGAGAAGGAGGAGAGAAGATGAGAGTTTTGTATACCTTCTGAAATTCTGGAATGGGGGCGTCTTCGATTCGAGGCGTGCAAGGAGTCTCTTGTAGTCTTTGCGGGGGCCGCTCGGGAGCTCGTCGGAGCCACTCGGGAATCTGTTGGGGGCCTCTTGGGGGACTCGTGGAGGCTTCTTGGAAGCCTCTTGGAGGACTCAGACGGCCTCTTGGGAACCGCCGGGATGCTCCGGGGGTCACCTTGGCGCCGAGGGCGATCGGGGGGGCGCTTGAGGGGCTTCGTTTGGGCCTTTTGGGCGATCTCGAAGCGCTTTTGGGCCGTTTGGGGCGCCTCTTTGGCCGTCCTGGGGCCATCTTGGGCTCCTTGGGGCCGTCTCGGGGATCTCTTCGGCGGCTTTAGTTGAGGGATGAAAAAACGGCCCTACCCTGGGTTACAAGTGCGTGGTCTGTAAACCTCCTGGGAACCCCCAAAGCCTAGAGCCGCCAGGACGCGGCACATCACGCAGGGTTTACCCTGTCAGCCCACAGGAGTTTCAGCGCACAGCGCCTCGTAAACCAGGGTAGGGGCGTTTTTCAAGCCCTTGATTTAGGGCGCTCTTGGGGGCCTCTTGGAGCCGCCTAGGACGCTGGTCGGACCAAGCATTCATATGCTAAACATGTACGTATTCCCCAAACAATGATGCGAATTTTAACGCTGTAAGCCTTCGGGGCAGGTTCTCTTGAAGCCGTCTTGGAGCAGCTTGTGGGGCTCTTGGGCCGTAATGGGCCATCTTCGGCCGTCCTGGAGAAGTCTGGAAGCCATCTGGGACGTCGGGAACCTCTGCGGTGGGTCTGGGGGCTTCGGGGAAGGGTCTCCACTGGCCCAAGATGGCTCCAAGATGGTTCCAGATAGTCCAAATACAGTCATCGGCCTGACCTGAGAAACGAAAAGAAGGAACGAAGCCCCTTTTTCCCCAAGGAATAACGCAGAAGAAACGACAAATAGTAAATAACGCATGAAGAACGACAAATAACGCATGCAAGCCTAAAGAACAACCGGGCCCCTTCTGAAAAGTGTTCATTATTCAAGCCGCTCCCTGTATGGTGGCCAGGATGGCAGGCGACAATCTTGCTCCATGCGGCTGCAAGAATGCCTCCACGAGGCCCGAAGCCGGTCCCAAGGTGGCCCCTACTCAGTGTCCACGGAGCCTCCCAAGGGTGCGACCAACTGACTACCTACCAGACCACCCCAACCCAACCCGAAGACCCGAATTTGACCCGAATTTCGGGTTGGGGGGGAGCGGATACCACGTGATTTTTCAACGTTCCCCGACCCCCCTTCTGGAAACGGAAGGCAAATTGAGGGCTTCGGGTTGGGTTGGGGTGGTTTGGTGGGTGGTGACCAACAGGCCCCATCGCCGAAGCACCGCAGGGACAAATTCTACGGCTGTTGCCTTCTCGCCTTGATTTTTGCTTCCGATGTGCGTACGAGGAATCAAGATGGCACACAGGTCGCCCGAAGGAGCCCCGAGAGGGGCCCAGGATGGCCCCGAGAAGGCCCCGCGAGCACCAACTAATGCCAAAGTTGGGGGCTCCACGGCACGATTTTGCGGGCTCCGACGGGGCGGGACTCCTCAGCAGATGCCCTCTGACATGGCTCTCGAGAGGGCCTCCGATGAACCCACGAGGGCGCAAACACGGGCTCCAAGAGGGCTTCGTCGCAAACCTAAGGATGGCGTCAAGAAGCTCTCAGAAGGCTCCTGGAGCAGACGGCCCGCGAAGGCCTTCATGATTGACTTGTGTGCCACCGTCGTCGTTGACGTCATCGGCGGCCCCCCTTCTTCCCCCATGCGCTTCCCCCTCCTCCTCCTCCTCCTCCTCCTCCTTCTCCTCCTCCTCCTCCGTCTCCTCTTTCTCCGCTGGCTCCTCCTACGGCAGCCTCAGCAGTTCCATTCTTGGGTCTGCCCAGGATGACTCTGGCTTCGGCACTGCTGCACTGCATGCTCCTACACGTCCTTGATTAAGGAGTCTCGAATGGCGATCATTTCTGAATGGGCTGGTGGGAATACACGTAGCCTGAATCAAATCATTGGTTGCAACGTCGGTCCCCTACATATCGGCATCGATCAATCTAACATCACTGTGCTGTGATGGCGTGTTTTTCGTATTCAATGAACCGACTGGTCACTGCACAGAACGACCGGCGACCCTCTGTTGACGCGACGATGGCAACTCCTACCGCCTCTTCACGTCGTTCATTTCTAATCGTGCTCATTTCGAATTGGTCCTGGCCCCCTAGTGGCCAGGAAGAGGCCCAGGATAGCACAGTTAGAAATGAAAGGATCTTGGCCCCCCCCAAAAAAATCAAAGACCTTTCGAAGAAGCAGACATGAACCATATCTGTACAGATGCCCCCTCACGCGAATAAGAGCGGCGAAAGGCAGGAGGAGGGCGAAGAGGTGGGGAGAGAGGGGCGGGTGCAGCCGAGGGCGTGCACGCGGACGCGGACACGCTGCGGGAGCGAACGGGGGGGGTACAGGAGCGCGGGTGGGCGGGGCAGGGGAGCGGAGCGGACGGGCGAGCGAGGAGAGCGGGCGACAGCGGGAGAGGGGGGACGGGAGGCGTGGCGGGAGGGAGAGGCGGCGGTGGCACCTGCCGCCTTGAACAAGAACACCGTTCCAGGGTCCACGATGGTGTACACGAAGAAGGACAACTGGTTGTTGAGCGCGTACCTGCGGAGCAATCCGCTCCGCCAAGCGCCGCCGAGGCCCCCCTTCCTCCAGGTGCGCGCTGCATCCAGCGGCACGTTCCCCCAGCGTCGCTTAGCACGGCCGCAATCCTTCCCAAGTTCATCCAAACAAGGGACGGAAACATATACCCAGTGGCCTATCCGCCACCGTGCCCTGAGGCACGAGTCCCACCAGCCCTCTGGGCGTCGGTGGTTTAGAGCGTTTCCTCTTCCACCCCTCCTTCTTCCCCTTCGGGGAGGGGTTTACCCCTCCCCCTACCCCCTCCCCACTGACCTGGACAGGGGGTTCCGCGGCGCGCTGGAGCGCCCAAGATCGACCCCTGGGAAGGCTAAAATTCGACACCCCTCACGAGGATCGTGGCTCCTGGGGGGGGGGGGGCTCTAATTAAGGAACCCCTCTTCTTTTATCGATTTCCTCCACGATGGCCGCAAGAGGCCCCCAGGATGCCCCAAGAGGCCGCAGGATGGCCCCAAGATGACCCCAAGAGGCCCCCAGGAGACCCCCAAGAGGCCCCCAAGAGACCCCAAGAGACCCCCCAGAGGCACCCAAGGTGCTCCCAGAGGCCCCAAGATGGCCCCAAGAGGCCCCAAGAGGCCCCCAGGAGGCCCCAAAGAGGATCCCGAACGGCCCACAGAGGCACCCCTGAGGCACCCAAGACGCCGAAAAGCCCCTCAGGACGACCCTCTACTCGCCTGGGCGTCGTTTCTGGACGGGCTGGTGGGGATACTTTGTTTTTACGGCCGCAGGCGGAAGCGCCAGCGGCGGGCAGTCACGGTCGGGCCGCGGCCGTGGCTAAATTCCCGAGCGCGCGCGGCGCGGCTCAGGCGGCGGGGCAGCAACCCAGGGTGTCTGAGGAGCCAGCGTCGTGCAATCCCAGGGAGTCTGAAAGGTCAGCGCCTGAGACAAACGTGCAAGCTGCATCCCAGGGAGTCTGTGAGGTCAACCCTGAGGCGAGCCAAGCGCAGCCAAAATGGCGCGCAGTCGTCCCGACGCGTCCAGGTAAGAAGAACCGCGTGATGGGACAGTCACCGTGCAGGAAGGTCATCCAGGGAACCAGACGGGTATGATCAGGTAGTACTGGTGACGTTGTCCAGCAGGGGAGGCTATGACGGCGCCAGCGAACCGTCGCAACATCAGAAAACGCATCCACGCAAGGGTCTAGGCCAGAGTAGCCAGAGAGGACCCAACCGAGGCGGATCGATACGCCTGCGTACAGAAACCAGCAAACTGGTCAGGACGCAAGGGGTACACAAAAGCACAAGAACGCAGGGCTCAAGAGTGACGTGTACCGAACAACAATGTGACGTAGCGCAAGGCGACTAACTCAACCATGCGTGTGCGCTCGATGGACGCAACCGTCGTATACCCAAGACGGCAAACCATCACAGTCACAGAGTCCCAGGGAGTACCCCACACCTGAGTGCGGGAGAGCAACGAGAGGAGCCGAACCTCCATACTCCGAAACCGAGCGGCACGAGGTAGACGTGTGTCAACGGTGAGCAGAGCTTATCGGGTAAGACCGACGGTGCTGGTGGGGATACGCGAAGCGTCTAGAATTGCTTCGAGTCTTCCGTCCTCCATCCTGAGGATTCTGAAAAAGGGCCCACAACTCCGAGTTCCGTGCCGTCGTGGGCACTTCCGGGCGCTCATGAGCAGTCGGAGTCAAGAGGGCCCCAAAGACGCACCGAGCTGGCCCGAATAGTCGCCTGAGACGTTCCAAGAGCGCCCCGAGTCGTTCGAGATCGCTCCAAGACGCCCAAGGCCCCCAAACGGGGCCCCAAGAGGGGCCCAAAGCGTTGCTTGGTCGGGCTTCTGACGCTCAAGGGCCGCCACAGAGGGCTCGAGGGACCAAAAGCGTCGGACTCGGCATAACTGACTTGTAAGTTCAAGCAACTCTGAGTATGTAGACCCCATGTTGGTGCGCGCCTCAGATGCTTGAACCTGGCCCAACAACAATTTAAATCCATATAGCTGCGACTGGAAGTGGCTGGCATTTCGGAGCTTGGGCGCAAGCAAACTCGTGGCAGTAACAACACGGGCATCCTTAATGACAGCTATCTCCTCAACGATATCCTCGGCAAGGATATTCTTGTTCTGAGACAGAACCTCCAACTGACGACAACATTGGGCATGCTCGGTCTGGAATGGCTCAATAATCTTAGTCCCCCAGGCCTCCTATTCAGCACGCGGAACGATTCGACCCTCACTGTGCAGATTCCCTCATTTTGCATATTGAATATGGATTATTTGGCGGATGGGGGAGGGTGTCCTTGTATCTTCCCAGCAGTGAGACTTTCCTGGGTCCTGTGGATCTCGTCGAGGGCCCCTGGAGCTTCCTTGGCTCCGTCACCGTTGGATCCATCCCACACGCAATCTCTGAGAGTACCTCTGCATCCACCTCCACTCCTCCTACCTCTGCATCCACCTCTGCCCCTCCACCTCTGCTACTCCACCACGTTTCCGCCACGCCCTCTGCATCCACCTCCGCCTCCTCCTTTACCAGCACCGCCTCCGCCTTCCCCACCAGTGTAAGTCCAGGGGGGGCCCGGGCCAAAACCTTGAAACCGCGGGATAGCAACACTTGAAGTGTTTGGGATTCTTCTTGCTTGCAGCCGCAGTTCGAGCAGATGAGCCCTTCCTACGAGCCATGCCCCTGAACACTCCAATGGGTAATCGCACACTGGAGTGAAGGAACTGATGAGCAAGACTCAAGGTTTGGGCCGGAATGGTTGCGTCGGGTGCCACCGCGAAAGTTGTCGCACGGCGGCGGAAACGTCCAAGCTCGAGCCCCGCGACCGCGGTCCTCCTCTTCCTTCTCCTCCTCCTCCTCCCCCTCCTCCTCCTCCTCCTCCTCCTCCTCCTCCGCCTCCTCCTCCTCCTCCTCCTCCTCGTTTTCCTACTCCTCCTTGCCCCACGCGCGCTCCCGCGCGCGCGGCGGGGGGTGGGTGGGGGGTCGAGGTGGCGAGAGGAGGGCGCAGGGAGGAGGGGTGGGTAGAAGAAGACTTTGGCGCCGTCGTCCACCCTCGTCGTGCTCCCTCTCCCCTCCATCCCTCCCCCTCCTTCCCTTCCATCCCCCTCGCCCCTCCCTCCGTCACCCCCTTCCTGCCCCTCCTTCCCCTCCCCGTCCACGTCCCTCCCGTCCCTCCCGTTCCTCCCGTTCCTCCTCCCGTTCCTCCCGTTCCTCCCGTTCCTCCTTCCCTCCCCCCCCCCCCCCCTCCCCCGTCCCTCCCGTTCCTCCTTCCCCTTCCCGCCCATCCCCCCGTCCCCCCCCCTCCCCCCCCTGCTCCGGTGCCCTCCCCGCCCGAGGGGCGCATGAGGCTCAGAAGGGATATGTTTGCCGCGGAGCGGCCAGACCTCGGCAGGCGTGCCCCCCCTGCCCGACTCGCGCGCAGCGGAGCCAGGGATCGCCAAGCGGGGCAGGCAAACGATTGCATGTTCACTGGAAGGACACGGCCTTCCGAGATGGGAGGGGGGAGGGGGAGGACAGGGAACTCAACGAAAACGAGCAATCCATAAAAGAATAACATATCACTGAAAACGGCGAATATAGCTGTGAGCTGAGCCTCCTCCTCCCCCTCCCGCCAGACCCCAGCTTGGCTTCCCCCCCGCACCCCCACAGGAAAAGGAGGGGGACAACGAGGCGAGGGTATCGGTATGGGTACCTTCTTCCTGTTTTGATTGAGGAGCACGATGGGTAGCGGTATGGGTACCCATTGGTCTGAAGAAGTGGATCGAAACACGAAGAAGAAAAGCATTGGAAGTAGATTGGGCTTGGAGGGAAGAGGGAGCACCACTAGGCAAATTGGAGTAGGAAGGCGCCTGCACTGGACTGGGAGCTGGGGCTTCGTAGACTGCTGGTAGATCTACGACCATCCTGCGTACTCTGTGGCAGATCCGACAAACGAGCGCTTTTTAAATTTCTGGGGCGAAGCCTTTGTGCAGTCGAACCCCTCCTCGATGTCCCTGTTTGAAGGGGCCCCAGGACACACAAATAAATACACACAAATGAAATAATTCCCCATATGTTCTCATATTTTCTTATATTTTCTGAGTTTTTGTCTTCCCCCCCACTTCCCATATTTTCCCATATTTTCTGGGGAATTGAGGATTATTTGTGTCTGTGTGTTTCTTTTCCTCCTGACTGTTCTGAGGAGCAGGAGCGATCGGAAGGCCGCGCTGGGAGCCGCACAGCTGCGCGGCCGCGGCCCGCCAGGCGGCCCGCGCCACCGGGGAGGAACCGTCGCCGCGGCGCGCGGAGTCGGCCACGTGAGGGCCCGCGGGCCCCGAGGCGGCGAGCCACTGCCGAGGAGACGCGGCCAGGGCGAGGATCAAGTCGGGTGGGAATACTTTGCTGGGCGACATCTCCACCACCATTGCCGTATCAAGGACGGGGCAGAAAGGAGGATGGGGAGGTCCTCCTCCTCCTCCTCCTCCTCCTCCTCCTCCTCCTCCTCCATCTCCCCCTCCTCCTCCTATGGTAATGGAGGTGAGGAGTCGGCCCATCAGAAATCGAGAATCTCTGAGGGCCGGCGGCTCTGGAGGATGTCTCGGACGCCGCGGCCTTCTCAGAGTTATCAGGAACGCTCTGAAAGCGTTCCGGAACTCTCTGGAAGGGATCGATCCTCGACCAAGCCCCGCCCGACGAGGTTAGGAGGCAACTGCTGGGAGGTCCTCGTCGGAAATGATTTGGAAGCACTGCGCCCCATGTAGTGGTCGTCGCGCTGGATTGGGCCGCGGAGTAAGCGGGATGAAAGCAGATTCAGCGGGATCTTGCCGGATTAAGCCGGTCCCGGCCGGATTTCGGAACAGGGCAAAGTAAGACGTTAACCTCCCGGGAGTTGCATACGAAGGGAGGGGAGGGGGAGGGGAGAGGTACACGTCGTTCATTTCTAATCGTGCTCATTTCTAATCGCGTTCGTTTCTACTTGTTCCTGGTCCCCCTAGTGGCCCAGAAGATGCCCAGGATAGCACAATTAGATAGAGCGCGTTCTGTGGTTGCTTGGAAGGGGGGGGGGGAGGGGGGGAGGTGGAACCGGGGGTTCGAACCCTCCCCCTCCCCCACCCCCCCCTCCCTGGATGAAGGGGGGGGGGGGGGGAAGGGTTCGAACCCCCCCCCCTCCCGTGACGGAGGGGGGGAGGGGGGTGTTTCACCCACCCCCCTCCCCCCCTGCTTCCCCTCTCCTCGGGCCGGCGCTTGCGTCGGCGGCGGCTGGCGACGGCGGCGGGGACAACGATTTCCATCTCTGGGCCAGCGCCAGCCCGCGCCTGCGGCGGCGGGCGGCGATGGCGGGGAGCGTCGACGAGGACAATCGTGGTGGTGGTGGTGGTGGTGGTGGTGGTGGTGGTGGTGGGTTGTGGTGGTGGCGGTGGTGGCGGTGGTGTGTTGTGGGTGGTGGTGTGGTGCTGGTGGTGTGGTGGTGGGTGGTGGTGGTTGTGGTGGTGGTGGGTGGTTTGGTGGTGGCGGTGGGTTGTGGTTGTGGCGGTGGTTTGTGGAGGTGGTGCTGGTGGTGGTGGTGGCGGTGGTGGTGGCGGAGTGGTGGTTTGTGGTGGCGGTGGTGGGTCGTGCTGCAGTAGTGGTGGTGGTTGTGGCGGTGGTGGTGCTTGTGCGGTAGATGATGGTGGTGGTGATGGTGGTGGGTTTTTGTGGTGGTGGTGGTGATGGTGAGTTCTGGTGGTGGTGGTGGTGGTGGTTGTGGTTGTGGTGGTGTGGTGGTGTGGTGGTGGTTTGTGGTGGTGGTGGTGGTGGTGGGTTGTAGTGGTGGCGGTGGTTTGTGAACGTTTGTTGTTGTTGTGGTGGTGGTGGCGGTGGTGGTGGTGGTGAAGTGGTTTGTGTGGTGGCGGTGGGTTGTGCTGCTGGTAGTGGTTGTGGCGGTGGTGGTGGTTGTGTGGTAGATTGTGGAAGTGGTGGTGGTAGTCGTATCGGGTTTTTGTGGTGGTGGTGGTGATGTGAGTTGTGGTGGTGGTTGTGGTGGTGGTGGCTGTGGTGGTGGTGGTGGGTTGTGGTTGTGGCGGTGGTTTGTGGAGGTGGTGCTGATGGTGGTGGTGGTGGTAGTGGTGGTGTGGTGCTGTTGGTGTTGGTGGTGGTGGGTTGCGGCTGTGGTGGTGGGTTGCGGCGGCGGTGGTGGTGGTGGTAGTGGTTGTAATCGTCGCTGCGTCCCCGCCGTCGCCGGCGCCAGCGCCGGCGCTGCCGCCCGCCGCCAGCGCCGGCGCTGGCGGCGGGCGGGGGGTTTGACCCCTCCCCTCTGAGCTGCTTGTGGTCATCGTCGCTGCGTCCCCGCTGTGGGCGCTGCTGGCGGCCGCCAGCGCCGGCGCTGAGGGGGGGGGGGTTTGAACCCCCCCCCCCCCTGGGGGGGTTTGGGGGGAGGGGAGTCCCCCTGGTTTTGATCGACGGCGCCGAGTGTTGTGGGGGGGGGCCCACCCCCGGGTTTGAAACGCGCCGCCCAATTTTCCCGCACGCAGAGGCTCGTCGACAGCGCGTCTCGGCGGCGCCCTCCTGCCTGCCTCCGTCTCGCGTCGTGGAGCAGCTTTTTGCTGTGTGCAGTCAGCCAGTATAGTGAGGACGCGCGATAAGAATGCAAGGGCCTTGGAAGGCCCGTTCGAAGCTTTTCGAGCGGGGCGCGGTCCACGAAAGTGGCCAAGGATAAACCGAGGAGGCAAGGATGCAAGGGTACCCTTGGGAAGGTTGCCCATCCTTGCTATGCGGGTTGCCTGTGTACAAATCCTGAGGGTGAGGTGCCCAGTTGCTTTGTGATTGCTTCTCCCAGAAATCACTGCACCGACCTTGCAGACATACCGCAGCGGATTTTTGCGCGGGTATTTCTGTCCACGCAAAACCCCGAACACGGCGAGTGAAAAACGGAGTGAATGTCGTGTGGTTTTTTTTGGGGGGCACACAGACAATCCGCACAAAATTCACCTCAAAATCCGGAACGAAATTCTACAGGACACTCCGGGCCCATCCAACCGTTTTCCGAACGAAATCCGCTATGCGATATTGGCGCCATGGCAGAAAAGATGAGGGGGGAAAAGGTTTCGGATGCCCAAAATGGGTACGGAGAAATGAATACAACGACCAACAACAAACGCTGCCTTAAACGAACAGTGGCCGCTGTTGGGCAAGCGGCCTTCTGTCTCACATGGACACAGACCGCGGCGACACCAACAGCAAGTCTTTTCAAGATGAGCCAGAACTGCTGTCGGTCTGTGTACCCATTCCATCCGTACTTAGTCACTTCGATCGCCCCGAAAAGTGAAATAAGACCCCGTGGAGCCCCAGCTCCTGGTGGACACATCGAGCTCGGAACGGCCAACTGGGGGGCTGCGACTCTCCTGATTGCCCTGTCACGAGCCAAACTGGCGGCCTCGGGGCCCCTCGGAATCTTATATTCACTAACGACTAAACACGCCTCCCGGGGGGAGGTGACGATGGGGCCCACAGCGAAGCAGCTCCCTGCGGGATTGAGGAGGGGGGGCAGAAGAATGGGGAGGAGCTAATTTGTGGGCCCTGGACACGACAACGCAATGTTCTATTGCAAGCTCTGTTTTGCACCGATTGCTGCCAACTCGGGTGCCCTTGTTTGGGCTCCCGCTTCCGTCGCGTTCGTTTGTTTCCGCACCTGGTTCCGGTTTCGCCTTCTGGAACAATGCTTGTTCCCATTCCGAAAATAATTGATTTCACCTCTCTAATGCTCCAGAACATGTCTTTGAAAACGGCAAAACACATGCCCTGCCGCTTCCGGGGCCCACTAAGGGGGAGAAGGCCAAACCAGAACGGGCGGGGACTTTGAAAGAACACGTGTGGAAAAATCACGGTTTCGGATCCTTAGGGAGGAGGAGAAAGGATGAGGGTAAAGAGAGAGGCGGAAAAAGGCGGGAGGGAGGAGGAGCGATGAGAGGGACACGAAAAAACAAGGAAACGCGGGAGGGCGACGAGGGGCAAGGGGGATGAATGGGAAGGAGGAGGGCGAGGAGCGAAGGAAGGAGGGAAGGCAGAGATATTAACTGGATGGAGTGCTGCTGGAGTCCAAAGCTCTATGAACTCAATGGCTTCACAAACCGACTTCGGGCCCCCGTGCGAGGAGACCAACTACAGGTGATGCCGCTAGGCCCTTTATCATATGCTTCAGCTCCAGACCCCCGTCTGAAAATTAGCCAGTCTTGACGGTCGCTGCCCTGCCAGAGCCGATGAAGTCTGCTGGAAATGCTGTATGGCCACGCGGTGGCCTCCAAAAACTAAGGAAAAAACAACAAATAACAAAACAAACAAAAAAAAAACGCAGCCGACCCCCCAGGACAGCCCGAGAGGGCCCAAGGTGAGACCAAGAGAAGCCTCAAGGGGCACCACGGGGCCGCAGACGGAGCGCCCAAACACCCGAGTGAAATGCCGAACGCTTCGCCAGCAAAGCGTTTCGCTGCCACTCCGGGGTTTTCGACCCCCGTCGGCGTCGCCCCAGACCTCGCTAGGGCACTTTCAGGGCCCACCCAGGGGGAGCCGACATTAACGACATTAACCCTGCCAACCTGCCTGCAACATAGGACATTAAGGGACATGCCTGCCGACATTAACGTCCTTTCTCTTGATCCAGTTTAACAAAAGAAAAAGGAAAAAGAGACGATACGATTTCCTCTTTATGGCATTAAGGGGGCGCCCTGGCAACCCTGCCCCCCCCGTCGCGGGGGCGGGGACTGGGGCGAACGGAAGGAAGGGGCCGGTCTTAGGGTCTCTGCCCTCCCGAAGCTGATTGATGGCGCCCTGCGTAGCGCGGGGGCCCGCAGGCTTGCAACATTTACGAACTAAGCTTTGCCGCTGGACCTTCGCATAACAGACGGTTTGCCTGCGTTCCGCGGAGATTGTCTGGCCTGTCGCCCTGCCTCTGCGCCGCGCCGGGATCGCCGCCGCCGCCGCTCCCCGCAGGGCCCGAGGGGGGGGGGGGCGGCCCAGGAGGGGGGTCGTTCCCAGCGTCTACTACGTCGGGCGACTCAGCTGCGACTGTTGCCTTAAACAGAAGGGTCCTTCCAACTTCGCTACAGAAGGTGATGAATTCTTGGCGCTGCCACTCGTGGGAGTTGGAGCATGCGTGCCCGCACTCTGGCCCCACAGGTCCGCGACGCGCATGCCATGGGACCCTCGCCCCACGGGGCGCCCTAATCGGGGAGCGGCAGCGGGTGGCAGGCCTTGAAATTGCCCGACCTATCACGTCCACGGCAGCCAATGCGCAGCCTGCCCTACGCCTGGTTGCGCCCAAGAGGGAACCATTCAATATGAAGCCGTCGTCTTGAGCGGCTCGAGCGATCTCATGGGGAACTCTCAGCGGCCTGAAACGCAGAGCAGGATCTTGAACCAGTTACCGACCCCAGAGAACCCCCAAGTTTGG